AACCAGGATCCAGCCGAGAAGTTAACCCTCGGTCTTAAAACCCAATCCCCACACCAGCAACTCGGCGAGCTCCGGATGCCAAATTGCCTGACACACGGAGAATGAAGTGTGAGGATGAGGTCGGATCTGAAGATCGTAATTTGATTATTCAAATAGGGTCTTGGATGCGTTTCCGAGACACAGTATACATCTAAATTGAAAGTTTCAGGGATTCTAGCTAAGGCCTTTTGTTGACCAAGCCGATAGTGTACGGACATTGAATGAGGCTAAGTGAAAAGGAGATTTTGGTTTCGAAAATCTGATAGCTTCTGGGTAGCTGACCTTACTTGTAAAGACGCAGAGTGATATCCCACGGGTGGTGCAAACAGGAGTTACCTCCCAAGATTTGGGAGTGAGAAGAAGAAGTGGACAGACTTTGGGGCAAGACATAAATGGCGGTAGCCCACACCGACAAAGGCGATTTTTTGGGGAACCGGAACCTGCGACACAAAAGTCTGATCCACAAAGCAATGGGGCGTAGATCCAACGAGGCAGCGTAACCGAAACATCCATGTGGGAGATTCTACAGATTTGTCACGCAAGGCCTTTGAATTTCGGTCAAGTTTGTTGTTCGATGGTGTATTGATTGACGATCCGCTTTTTTTAGATCACCCGCTAGCCTCATGCATCCACTGAAACAAGCGGAACATGGACGGGACAGTACCTAATTGGCTGGAGGCTGTCCAGTGAAGTTCGAAGACTTCTACCATCGAGGGAAATCCCCAGGTACCCCGCTCCTACATCCATCTAGCGGGGTTTTTGACCAATAAACTGCCCCTCACCGTGTTTATTTGCTGGAGCGACCTCTACTGGGGCGAGTGGATAGTAAAAGGAAGCCAGGAGGTGTCACAGCAACTGATCTTGTGAGACTGAGTTTCGTCTGGTCTTTACGCATTGACCCTTCAGGTATGACTGAATCTGCGGCTGTAAAGAGTCATCCTATATAGCTCGCAGGGTCATGGAGGCACACCATGTAAAGATGCAGTCGCATCGTGATGGCCGGAGACGAACCAAAATGTGGCTTAGGAATTCGATCTGTTTACCTCGATTGTTTCCGCAAAATCAGGACCTTGGGCTACTGACTGAACGCGGATTAGTCGAGATTGCTCGAATACGAAAGTACTCGTGCAACCCCGGTGGATTCATTCGAACTTGCATTCAGCGCACTTGGCCAATAGGGTTAAAACACAATCATACATACTTCAGGTATTCCTTCCAATAGGACTATCCTCCCGGAGGTTTACAGTTGCAAAATAATTGTCAGTGAACACATAGAAATCTAATTATGATCAACCTGGTAAGCGGTAAAACGGATCGCAACTTGACTGAAGGATTATGGAGGAAGACAAAAACAATCGTGTCGGAATTCCATGTTTGAAAACTGCTGGACACTACTGCTGCGAATCACTCGGTGTGTATCAATGTTTATCGGATGGAACTGCAAGCCACTTGGTGCGTTCATTGACCGTGAAAAGAGGTGGGGGAACAACTTAACAAATGGTCACCAATACTGAATGATACCAATCGAGTACTGTGAACGTGTTTTTTACCAACTTTCAAAGTAGATATTATTTGTCTACTTCTCTATATTCTTTTCGATACTGCTGTAAGTTTTAAACTATAATTCATTCCTTTGCCATTGGTCAACCAAATGGGTGGCCGATAGATAGTGACCAAACCCGCCGCACGAAAGTGTATGGTTAATAGTTGTCCAAAATGAAACAAACTGCAAACAAATTGCCAAGCTGGGCGAACAGGCGAAATAGAATTCAGTTAACCGGAGCTACGAGAACCGATTTTCAATACTTCGTTAAACTGTCAGAAACCCACGGAATACAGGTCTTTTCTGAGCGTTACTTTGTGCAGTTTGGCTTCATATCTGGTCTATCCACAAGGAAACTTTGCGCAAACAGAACGGGTGTTCAACGCCGGTTCCTTCATGTTCGACTCTGTCCTGATTAGTTTCATGTTCCTATCAGACTCGTGTGCCGATGGCTTGACAGAATCTTTCTTTTACTGCATCTGTAAGTGTAAAATGCTGGTACCCTCCATACATTCCGCAATACGACCTGTGCAAACCAGCAGTAAACTGCTTCTCGCATCTGTGGCGATTGTCTAACGGTTCTCTCAATTCACCTACTACAAAACATATCTTCAAACGCGCCTTTTTTAATTTTTTTTTAATTTTTACTTCCTTCTATTGAATTTACAACGCTACAAATTTCAGGATGGGGAAAGCGACCAATTAAAGGGCTGCAATAAAACATATAATGGAGGAAGTCAGGCGGCGGCGGTGATGGGACTCGAATAGCCGTCATCTTCGTTCTCTATCACAAGGAAGTAAATAATGCATCTATTGTGGTTAAATCAAAAAATCGGACCTCGATATATTGATGAAAAACTAGTTATTCAGCGATTTAGCTCTGTGGGTAATTGAAAAAAAAACTGATATCAAACAGAATGCATCTGCCAGTCAACATCGTGTTGAAATTGGATCCATATAAATTAGATTGTGGATCGATTTGCGTGGGAATTCCCACTGCTAAATTCGGAAGTTTGGGAGCGTGTATCGCAAAGGGCATAACATAATCAGTTTCATGATCAAGCGTAAGTAATCCGGAGATGATATAGTCGAGTGGCCATTTGGTGTTAGCGTGACACATAATCTGAGTGCGTTTGTGTAGCAGAGTTTGGAGTGTCACTCATTTCAGATATTTTTTTCGATATACAATTGCACACGACGTTAGATCGCGATCGAAATCTATTTCACCACGTGCTACTGTACCTGTGAAATATGTTCCCCCTTAAAAAGCCCAGATGCAAAAATATAATGGGCGAAAATAGTTAGCAACAGGCGATAACAATTATGCAAACTGAGACATAAATGACAGTTGGGTGCTCTATGCGGCGGTGGTGGTGGTGGTGATTTCGTTACTTCTTTTGCCGAATCGACTCAC